GAGGCGAGAGGATGAGAAAAAGGGAAGGAAAGGAATAGAAGGAAGGTGGTAAAAGGGAGGAGGGAGAAGAGAAAATAAACAAGGAAGAAGCTGGAATTGAGAAGGAAGGAAGATGATGAGTAAGGAAATAATAAATAGAAGGAAGCTGGGGGAGCATTTGCATGAAGATGAGGAAGCAAAAGGAAACTCTGTCTGTCTGTCTGTCCCCTCTCTGTCACTGTCTCTCTATTTCTCTCGTTCTCTTTCTCTCTCTCCCCCTCCTCTTCCTCTCCTCTCTCTCCCCTCCTTTCTCTCTCTCTCACTTCCTCTCTCTTTTTTTTTCTCTCTCTCCCGCTAACTTTCTCCCTCTCTCTCTCTCGCTTCTCTTCTCTCTAGCTCTCTCTCTCTCTCGCCACCCCCCCTCTCTCGCTTTCTCGCTCTCTCCTCTCTCTCTATCTCTCTCTGTCTTTAACTTTCTCAGAGACATACATAAGCTATTTTCCCGTCACTAAGGAAGGTCTAAATTAAACGTCTACGAAAGAGAGAGTTAGAGGGGGGAGGGGGGAGAAGAGCAAAGGAAAATGAAGAATGATGGAAACAAACAAGAATAAAAAAGAAGGGAAAAGCGAGGAGAAGAGGGGAGAAAGAAGGACGGAAAGAGAGAGAGAGAGAGGGAGACGAAAACCGAGAAAGGAAGAATATTCACCCGTGTAAGCGACATAAACAAGAGGGATAACAAGCAACCAATCAAACACCGAACACACAAACAACCCAACCCACCATCCACCCACCCTCCCCAGCCCTCCCATCCACCCACCCTCGCCAGCCCATCCACCCACTCTCTTCCACCATACCCAACCACCCACCAGCCACAACCCTCTCCCCACCCACCCAACCACTCCCAACCCACCCACCCTCCTCAGCCCACCCATCCACCCACCCACCCTCTACAGCCCATCCACCCACCCTCCTCAGCCCATTCACTCACCCTCCTCACCCCACCCATCCACCATACCCACCACCCTCCCCAGCCCACTCACCCACCCACTCCCAGCCACAACCCACAAGCAAGCAAGATGTCCCACAAGTTTCGGCGTTCACCCAATGCCTTATTTGCCTCAGCTCGAGCCCTATTTGCATACGGAGTGAGCTTAAGAGCGTCTTGGCTTAGTTCCTCCGTGGCCTTTGAGGAGAGAGAGAGAGAGAGTGAGAGAGAGAGAAATAGAGAGAGAGAGAGAGAGAGAGAGAGAGAGAGAGTGAGAGAGAGAGAGTGAGAGTGAGAGAGAGTGAGTGAGTGAGTGAGTGAGTGAGAGAGAGAGTGAGAGAGAGAGTGAGTGAGTGAGTGAGAGAGAGAGAGAGTGAGTGAGAGTGAGAGAGAGAGAGAGTGAGAGAGTGAGAGAGTGAGAGAGAGAGTGAGTGAGTGAGTGAGTGAGAGAGAGAGAGAGAGTGAGTGAGTGAGAGAGAGAGAGTGAGTGAGTGAGAGAGAGAGAGAGTGAGCGAGTGAGAGAGAGTGAGTGAGTGAGTGAGAGAGAGAGAGAGAGAGAGAGAGAGAGAGTGAGAGTGTGTGTGTGAGAGAGAGAGAGTGAGTGAGAGTGAGAGAGAGAGTGAGAGAGAGAGTGAGTGAGTGAGAGAGAGAAATAGAGAGAGAGAGAGAGAGAGAGAGAGAGTGAGTGAGTGAGTGAGTGAGAGAGAGAGAGAGTGAATGTGCATGTGTGTGTGTATGAGAGAGAGAGACGTTCACCTGGAAGAGGACGAAAGGGAGGGAGGGAGGGAGGGAAGGAGGGAGGGAGGGAGGGAGGGTGGGAGGGTGGGAGGGTGGGTGGGTGGGAGGGTGGGTGGGTGGGTGGGTGGGTGGGTGGGTGGGTGGGTGGGTGGGTGGGTGGGTGGGTTGGTTGGTTAGGAGGGCAAATGGGCGGTGAGAGTGGGCGGGAGGGAGGGAGGAATAGGTGTGTGGAGAAGAGAGAAGAGTGGGGAGGGAGGGAAGGTGGGAGGGTGATGGTTTAATTGGGCGCAAAGGTGGGTGTGAGGGATGAAAGTACAAATCAATGTATTGGAAGGAGGAAAGAAAGATAAAAACGGTATAGTAAAAGAAGAATAGGAATGATATGGATAAAGGAAGGTTGGAAATAGGAAGAAAAAAAGGAGGAAGGAGGAAGGGAGAAGAGAGAGGGAGGGGTGCGAAGTATCTGAAAACGTTTAATCTCGCTCACTCAAAGTAATAAAATATGCATGATTTTATCTTATCTCTGGGCATTTTTTATATCGGGGGATTTAAAAAAAATCTTTCTGCAACAGTACGCAATTTAGAATCCTCTGTTGAAGCCGACCGAAAGGGGAGGAAGAGGAGAGGAGAGAGAAAAGGGAGAGAGGGAGAGGGGAGAGAAAGGGAGAGGGGAGAGAAAGAGGTAGAAGAGGAGAAAGGAAGATTGGAAGAGAGGAAGAAAGACTGACAGGGGAGAGAGAGGGAGAGGGGAATGAGGAGAAGAGAAGAGCGGAGGAGAGGAGGATAAAGGAGAGGAATGGGGAAGATGGAAAGATGAGGGATAAGGAGGGGATAATGAAGGGAGATAAAGTAAGGAAGAAGGAAAGGGGAAAAGTAAGAAGAGGAAAAGAAAAGGAGAGAGGGGGAACGGGGGAGGGAGATAGGAGGAGTAGAAAGGGGACGAGCAAGAGAAGAGAGGAGGAAGGGAAAAGAGAGGAGAAGAGGGGAGGGGGAGCGGAGGAAACGATCAAGAGAAGGGGGGAGGGGAGGAGAGAAGAGGGGAGGGAGAGGGGGAAGAGGAGGAAAGGTAGCCGACACTAATGGATTAGAAGAATAACTTCCAATACTAAATGTGTTTCTGTTGTGGCGCAAAACGGTGTCAGTCATGGATGAGGAACGGAGATAGTAGAAGGGGCGATTGATAGGTACGATGCGAGGGATGGAATAACTCAATCACACACAGACACGCACACAAAGACATACACACGCACACAAAGACATACACACACGCACACACAGACACAGATACAAGCACACACAGACATAGATACACGCACACACAGACATAGACACCCACACACATACATGGACACGCACAAAGATATACACGCAAACACAGATATAAGCACGCACACGCAGACATGGACACCCACACAGATACACACACAAACGCAAACATAAGCACGCACACCCAGACAATGGATACGCACATACTCCCATGCACGAACATAAACACCATACAAACAAGCACACACACACAAACGCATTCAAGCAACCTTTAAACTTACTAAAATTAATTCTGTACGTATCGGAACTGCAGGCTGGGAACGGGTACGACAGCGATAGATTTGGCTTCTCGATAAGACTGAGTTCTGCTGATAAATTGTTGCAGAGAAAGATTTCGCAGTAGGTTTATTCTGGAGACACGGAAGGTGCAAGAACTCAGATCGGTATGAGCTTACTCTTGAAAGAATATATGAATATTCATATATATATATATATATATATATATATATATATATATATATATATATATATACATACATATATATACACACTGTTACGATAATTACAGCTAATTAACGTAACCGCATATAGATAAATATAATTCTCCTATATACAGAAGTATAAAAACTAGCGAATGAGAGGTGTGACTGCTGAATGAAAGATTAGGTGGTGGTTATGCTTGTTCACATATGCAACTATTCCCGCTGCTATTGGTTGTAGCAGGTGTCTTAGGGTATGAAGATCGCTGTTTACCACCGGCTGGAAAAGACGTGCTCTCGACTCTTGTTTACCACTATTTCCTTGGAAAGACATTCAATTTAAAGTTATAAACTGAATATAATTGATATTCTCATATTTGATAAGTTATAAAACAACATCGAAGTGCTAAACAGATAAAACTAAAATCAATAAAACCGTGCAGTGCGAAATACGTAAGATCGGGCTGTGAAATGACTATTGGTGAAGTGACTAATTTTGAAGTGACTGTGTTAGTGCTGCTGTGCTATAATCTAGGGTTAGGATTAACCTGTAATGCGGAAGGTGAGTGAGTGGGGTGAATGTGTAGGGCATCATTCATTGAACAATGTATTGTGTGCTAAGTGAATACATAAATAATAAGTAAAATGATTCCGTGCATTTATGTTTCCAATTATTTCTATCAGCGGCTCGTTGTTTCCCTTCTCAATAAACGAGAATAAAACTATAAAAAGAAAGTAATATTACAGACCTTAAAGTAATAAATTAATAAGTAAGTAGTATTACAACCACACTAATCGCATGGAAAGGTAAAAAGAATATAATTCATAATAATTTTATGAAACAAACACTATTGCTCATGAACTAAACATGTCTCGAGCTAAAGAGTGACGAATATATTTCTTGATGGAATGCATATGAACTAACTTGTTACTCGAGTAAGTGATGAACTTCCATAACTAAATACTCAGAATATAAATAATTTTTTGAGTAAAGTGTGACACACATACATATATGTATACACACACACACAAACATATAATATATATATATATATATATATAGCTATAATATATATATATATATATATATATATATATATATATATATATATATATATATATATATATATATATATATATATATATATAGTGTGTGTGTGTGTGTGCGTGTTCATATTCTTTTACATTAATGTGTGTGTGTGTGTACATTATGTGTACACGCACCTGTCTTTAACTTTAGATCTCTATAGCTATATATATCTGACGAACTATCATTTCGTATTCTGACCTACACAGAGATTTGATTAATTACTGAGAGAGAGTGAAGGGAATTGCATTTGGCAATTCGGTCCCAATAAGCAAGAAGGGAAATCCTCGCCTGTTTTTATCCTTTTCGTCTATGTCTATTTACGTTCCTTTCCTTTTTTTTTCTTCTTTATATTTGTGTATTTTTTGTATTTTAGGATAGTCTGCCTTTGTGATTTCTCTTAACCAAGTGTTTTATTTTCATTTCATTCCTAATTTATTTTAAAACTCCTTTCATCAATTTTCAGCTGTGCGAATAGTGAAAAGAAAAAATAAATAAAGAAAGACCTCAAAAGTGCCGAATAATTGGAAAAAAATAGATAGAAAATAGACATATCCTTTAAGAAAAATAAAAGTAAATATGGAAAAAATGGGAAGAAAGGAGATAGAAGAGAGAAAGAGAAAGTGAAATAAAAGTCACGAAGAACAACGAACGTTAGAGGAAGTCATCGCTTCGGTCGTCGTGGAG